CGAATAATAAACTCAGATTGCAAATAGTCACCAAAATCATGAATGCAGAGTGCTAGCATTGACCCAATGAAACAATTAAATCACAGTGACACCTTCAAAATATGTCCCAGAGAATTTACATGTGTGTAAGTCTTATGCTGTTCCTTTATGTATGAGTTAAAATTTTACTTGAGGTGAAAACTGGTAGCTCAACAGAGATTCACTATATTCCTTACTTGAATGCACATTCTATTAAATAAGTAAACGATCAACTGCCAGAATATAGATAGGAACATCTGGTTACACTCAGAATTGTTCTTAATAGTTGCTAATGATATATACGAGGCTGTGTAACATTGACAGAGCAGTGCAGAAAGTCCCAAGCTTTTCTTTGCAAGCATTTGCATGTGATAATACAAGTTTTCCAATTACAGAAACCCACCCTCTGCTTCATGCCAGAAGCACAAATAGAGAAGAGAGAATGCTGACTTTTCATACATTTGTAAACGTGTGATTTATTGCCTCTGATAGAATTTCAGCTTTCTTTTCTGGTAAAATACTATCTAAATTAATATTCTAGTTCCTTAGGCTGTACAACTGTATTTTAAATTGCCTAAGATTGAAATTAGCTGAATGCCTAAAGCTCAGCTTGACATGAATGGGATGCTTAGGTACAGCATATCTCCTGGGACCGAGTTTTAACACAGTGAAGTAAGTGGTATAGGCAGCTGGAATTATTTTCTCTTATTTTCTTGAGACGGTCTTCACCTGTTCTGTCTAGTGAAATTGGGGGTTCTCTTACTGTGTTTCTGTAGATGCCCAGTGATAGGCTGTGATGGCCAAGGTCACATATCAGGTAAATACACTTCTCATCGCACTGCTTCTGGTTGTCCTTTGGCTGCCAAGAGACAGAAGGAGAGTCCCGTCAATGGGTCTTCACTATCCTGGAAACTGAACAAACAAGAGCTGCCACACTGTCCTTTGCCAGGCTGCAACGGGCTGGGTCATGTTAATAATGTTTTTGTCACCCACAGAAGGTATACCTTTGTGTTTTCTCTTTTTACTTTTCCTTAACAATCCGCTGTTGAATTGGCAACATATGAGGCTATAGTCTAAATGGATTATGTTGAATTATTTTAAGTAACAAAATCGTTTACGCTGCAGCTGCAGTAGTATGGAGCAGAATATCTTTGAGAGGGTTAGGATGAACTTTTAACTCTTCTTTACATCCTCACTGCAGTGTGACTTTCCAAGTTCTTTACTTAGTCTTAACATAGTTTCTTATGATTTAAAATGTAGTAGAGTTCTTTCCTAGGCAAATATGGAGTTGTATCTGTATATCCTTTACAGAAAATACAAATATCATTGACATGTCAGCAGAAAGGATGTAGCAAGAGCCATGGCTGCATTCATTTCATCATTCTACCAATGGATAAAGCTATTTTCATAAAGTTTGTATTTAAACAACTAAAACCAAACCAAAAAGTAAACATGTAGAATTCATATGGATCACAGAATTTTGAAGGTGCAACAGTTTTACAAAGGAAACAGTCCTGATAAAGTGGGAACTGCATATATAAACAGTAATAATAAATACTATTATTTAATATATTACTATGAAAACCCTAATATCATTTGAACCTATTCACTCAATAACACTCAAAGAATCTGGCTAAAGAAACAGAATTAATACCTGGTGAAGTTTAGTCTTCTGTGCATATCAGGAATTAAATCTATATTCTATCCCTCCTTTGCTTTCTTTCTAACAGTCTGAACCAACTTCTCCAACACAAGAATGTCCGAGATGATTCAGACTAATTCAGTCAGAGGTGGTTCAGTCTGATTCGGCAGAACTGTCTGTTAAAAAATCACAGCCTATGAAATCTGGTGTTTAATGGCCCTCCAGCAAGTTCCATTACTCTTACTCTTCCTTTTCCTTTGACCCTTGGGTTTGATTTGGTGAGCCTCTCCTGTTCTTCATCTTTTTCCCATCTCAATCTCAAGCTTGGAAGTCCTACTGTGGCTCTGCCCCAGCCCACTCCCAGTTCACCGCTAGAGCTGGTTATTATTTCCTTTGGCTTCAAACTCCAGAGTAATACACAGTTACACAGAGGTCTTAGCTCAGCTGCTAGGACACTGTCCTAAAGTTTGCGTGATCTATTTTCAGGCCCATCTGATACAGAGACAGTTTACTTTGTACCGAAGTCTCCTTACTTAGTGTTTGCTATTAGGTGGTTGCTAGCTGTCAAAGACAGCTATGCAGGAAGAAATGCTCACCACAAGTCCTTAGGGGAAATTTTAGGTGAGTGTGGACTTTGGCTTCTTTCTATCAGTTCCTCATCTATATAGTGGATGCAATGGAATCAGCCCGTCCTGGGAATGCTGAGTAATAAATTCATTAAAGGGTTGTGAACTGCTCATATGCAAACCTATGGAGGCACCCAGCAGTCTGTGATAGAGAGAAACCCCCATAGCAGTGGGTTTGTCCAGTGTTGTAACTTTACGATCGGTATGCCATGCTGATGTGTTTACCTCGTGGCACAACTGTGAGCTATGGCTAGTTAACTCGTGCTAATCAATATGACAACTTGAAGCAAACACCATAGAAAGCGTTAGCTGGTTGCAACTCATCCTACAAATGATTCCTATCCTACTTAAGGCTGGATTACTTTCAAGAACAGGTTGGTTAAAATGGAATCCTTAATATAGTTTTGAACGTGCCGTGCATGCTAGCACTCCTGAAGCCTAACAACTCACCTGTGGCTTTGAGACATTCTTATGACTAGCTGTTGCTCTGAACAGAGATAATAAACAGTATTTCAGATCTGGAGAGCTAGCATATCCTGCTACATAGCTTTTAGCTAAGCAAGTGTGATGCTAATTTAACCCTGCAAAAGCTCATTTTCCATGTAGAAGCACCATGTTGGTTAGATAGAATCTCTGGGGCTTTTGAACAAAAAAAAAAAAAAAAATCAATCATTCTCCTGCTGGAGCAAAATTTTGCCATACTCATTACTTAGCTACATCTGAATATAAATCCGCGTATGGCTATTTCTTCTTTGTTATTTATTAAGATAGTATTAAGACAATGCAATTCATCTTAAGCCTTTATTGGGCTATAAAAATTGCTTCAGATAATTACCAGCTGATGAAACTGTAAGCTTTGAAATAGCAAAATGTAATTTAATATGAACAGTGGTTAAAAAGCAAACGTACTATATAATAGAACCATTCAAAAAAGCTATTACAGTCTATAGGGCATGTTGAGAGTTATTATTATAGTGATCATTATTATGTATCGACAAGATGATACAATAGTTGTGCACTGTAAAAATCATCCCATTAACTAAATTTTCTTTTTTTTAAGAACGGTAAACCTGTCATTTTCAAGGACCATACTGCCCCTCTCCTGTGAAGCATAACACTTCAATAAAAAACTAGAGAAAGTTTTTATTTAAAAGTGATGGGACTTTAAGAAATCTGTAAATACTTCATCCCATAATAATAGCTCCCATTGCTATTTGGATTATTTTGAAATATGCTTAGGCGTTGTTTACTTGGAGGCTGAGATTTCTGTGCCAATTTTCAAGCTGAAATATACAGTTAAATAGCTCTTTGTGAGTTATGTCAATCCCTGAAGCTATGCTATAATGGAGATACAGATGTGACCTTAGGTACAGAGGTCTGACCAAGTGCATGATAATATTGCCTGAAAGGATTATTGTCATTTTCAAGTGAGTGCTAATGTTTTTCTTCCTATCCTTTTCAGCCTGTCTGGTTGTCCTCTGAATGCACAAGCCATAAAAAAGGGCAAAATTTCGGAAGAATTAATGACTATCAAGCTTAAAGCAAGTGGTGGTAAGGAGATTTGTAAAAGATGATGACATTTATTTAGATAGAAAGGCCCTGACTCCCATTTATACTTATGCCCCTTTATACTGTTTTGGCATTAATTCTCACTCCTTTCAGTTGTCTCTATAACAAATAATAAAACTTCAATAACAGAAATCTTTCTGAGAGATTATAAAATTCTTCTCATTTACATGACGATAGCTCAACATTTGTCGTACCTTCTGGTCTTAACTCAGAGAGCTATTTTTGATTTGAGGATCTTTTAAATATTGTTGTTAGTAATAATATATTAGTTACAGCTCAGAAGGACTTAGCTAACTAATGATTAAAGTCAGAAGAGGTAAATACTGCACGCAGAAGTGGATTCATGTCCCTATCTTGAATCCTACATGATTTAGTTTCTGTGCAGTGCTTTGACAATTTTCCTAACGCACGTAGTAAACATAAAGGAATGGTTACCAATTAGGTATAGGGGGAAGTAAGTAGAGTCTGCTTTCTTACACAGTGTAGTTCTGAGAGTTGGACATTGAGCCCAGGTTAAAGAGAGTTAGCTTTTATGCCTCTGACTGCTGAGTAAAATGGCTGTGTTATCTTGGGCAAATGAATTTGTTTCCATGTGCCCTGCTCTCTGTTCGAGTTATCACTGGAACAGAGACTACTGCTTAAAGATTTTCCGTGCTGGGTCTCCAGTAGGCTCAGATCAGGAGTCTGGGTTTTAAAGCAGTAGCAACAGCAGCGGTAATAATCTCTAAGCAGAGATGATCTCAGAGTGGTATTAAGCAGAAAGAGGGACATGTATTGCCAGTTGTAGCTGCTCAGTATTATATTAAGGCTTTTGTTAAAGACCTGAAGAACTTTTCTTTGCTACCTAACTTGTGGAGATGTAAAAGGCCTCACTCTTTTTTTTTTTTTTCTATAGTGCCTTTTAGCCTCCTGATAGTTTCCATTTTGCCATCATTTAAGTGATCACTCATAACTAAGGCTCTACTTCCTCAAGTTATTCTGCATAGAGATTAATCCCCACAGAGCTTCTTGCAAGGTATAAATGAGCCTACTGAAGTCAGCAAAGTTATAGTAGTGTAGCTGTTACCCTGGGGTGTTCACTGCAAAGGAAGTTGTGTTACGTTTCTTTTAAACCTAAAAAGACATTGTTAATTCTCACTCATCTTATGTGACAGATTTTCCTCTTTCCAAGCATTTCCAGCACGTTTTCCTTTCTCTACTCTCCAGCTTGTGGTTGCATATTGTACTGGAAAAAAATTACGAATTGAGAAACACAAAACCTCGCAAAGCATAACTTGCCCCTTATAAGTTTCAGCTCATACAGATGTTTTACAGCTAATCAACAATTTTGACAGTAAAAGTAAAGTAAGAGGCAGTTTAAAGATCATTTGATCTGGAAGCCTGTTATTTTCCTCTTGTTCAGTGACAGGTAACCCAGCTTATTACTTGTATACTCATTTACACACGGACACCTTAAATCTGATCATGGTACTTTCAACTGTTTGCAGGTATTGAGAGTGATGAAGAAATCAGACACTTGGATGAAGAAATAAAAGAACTAAATGAATCCAATCTTAAAATTGAAGCTGATATGATGAAACTTCAAACCCAGGTATAATATCAAAGCAAAGAGTTCAACCTCTTCTTACGTATGCAAATGTTATATTTAAACACAGTTATTCTTGTGCACACGTGTTTTCCCATCACTTTGTAGCATTTAAAACTGCCAAAATCCTACATGTTTTTTGTCAAGTTTTTTTTTGTTTTGTGTAAATAAGCAGCAAATTCCTCTGTATTGTCATGAAAATCTGCGGAGCGATAGGTTCAAAACAGTTTCGAGCTAATCTTGGCAAGCAGGAAAACCATATTTACCAAACAAAACGTGCATTTTCCTTTGTTGACCAAACCTGTGTTGATGGAAATCATACAGAATCCCATGACTGTGAGAACTTGTATTAGGGAAACTACTAGGAAATGCCATTACTTCTTATGAGCACGCTCTGACTGTTATGCAAGTTGATTTTGTTCCTATCTGGCCTTGGAAAATTTCCCTACTTCAATTCACCCATAGTCAGTTATTCAAATAGTTAGACTTTTGCCTCCAGGCAACACCTGGTAAAGAATGGATGCCTTTTGCTAACTTGTATAGCAGATTAGTTTGATGGGGAGCTATGGAAAAGAGACATTCTCTTTCATTCTTTTGTAAGCCATCAAGAGAAAATCAGCCTTAAGATGCTGATTGTAGTTCTACTGAGTGAGCTGAATATGTTCATCCAGGCAGAGACTGCTATATACACCTGGTAATTCACCTTGTAAACTAGGCAAAAGCAAGAGCAGAAACTTGCCAAATATGTTAGGAGCAATGAGAGCTTAGGAGAAAAATTCCTAAATGGGAGCAGATCTGGAAACCAAATATAAGTCTAAACTTATGCAAAACAAACTGAGTGTAACCAGTATACCCTTCTGTATTTGTACCACACCCGAAAGTTTACAGTCTTGCTGTGTGCTGTTTTTATAATAGCCACAGCTTTTATGGTCTAAATATGCATGAAGTTTATATCACCTGTGCTGAATCTAAATTACCTGGCTTCATACTGCAAAGGTTGTGGGATATCCATCCCAAACTGCACTGCAGCGTTTTTCAGTGCCTCTGGACACTTTTTTCAATTCTCTGTGGAGGACATTATGCTGTTTGCACAGATATAAGAAACTGTCTAATTTATGCAACCACAGATTTCCTCCCCTCTGAATTTCTGCCTGCTGAAGGTAGTCCGACCTGCAAAGCTTGAACTGAATTAGAGCCGAAGGAACATGTTCCCTAAATAGCTTTGCTCTGTCTCCTTTTAATCTAACTTGGCCAGGCGTTAGGCTTCTGTGAGCACACTCCAGAGGCAAAGTTGTAGTGGATTTTCCTGGCACTTTATCGCCTCAGGCAGGCAGGAAAGAGTTCCTCACCCTGAGGACCGTTTCAGTGTATGGCAGTTTATTCCAGTATAACAAAGGGAACTAAACTGGTCACAGCAAGAGACACATCTAAGCAGTGCAGAGGTCTGTAGTCCCGATGAGGGGAGGGTGGATGCAATGCCTGTGGACGTGGCTCTGTTGCTCTGCGCCCTGTGCAGTGGCAGCAGTTGGGGAAGGGCCCCGCGCAGGGGTGGCAGCACTCCCACCGGCACCGTCTGGGTGCCTGTTACTGGGCCGTGGAGAACCAGGCCCTGCCACCGCTCTCTTTGGTTTTTCAGCACTGCTTTCCACGTACGAACCTGCAGAGCTGAGTATATTCCCAGCTCTCTCAGGCTGAAACGATGCCATTTTGCGACCTTAGGTGCTTTTTGCTGCTGTTTCGAAAAACTGTATGTTTCCATTCTGCTGCTCAGAGATCATCTTTGCATTTGTTCTGCACTCAGCCTCTCAGTTCGCTTCCCACTCTCTTTTTCTCTTATTGTTTCCAGTGCCTGCCCTCTCGCTAACCAGCCCAGCTCACAGTGCTACCCTGTGCCCAGGAGCAGGGCAGGAAAGCAGCACAGCAGCTAATACCAGTGTCACTGCTATTGTGGTCAGTCAGCAGGGATGCTATAAGAGCAGGGCGGCAATGTAAACATCAGCCTCTTTTCTCCTTCCTTCTGCCAGCCCTGAGGCCACACTCTCCATCCCAGCTAGATGCTAGCCCTTCCCCCTCCTTGGCTTCTTGAGGCCTGCAGACTTGAATTCCTTTTCGAGCTCGTCTTCCCCACCCGATATGCTCCACTGGCAGTGGAGCCACTCACTAGCACCTTGCTAGTGGACACAGGGTTTCCTTGTGAACTAACAACAAAGTCCATCAGCTCAGAAGGAATTTGACTTCTTCCTTGCTATGGATATTCTGTGGAGAAATTGTGCATATCTTATTAAAAAAAAAAAAAAAGGTACCTGATTTTCAAATCCATAGCGTGTCCTTTCACAATCACGTAACTGTCGATTTGGGTTCAGTCCATAGTTATAATGCAGCCAAGGGTCTGTTTGTTTGTGATTTTTAGATCACATCCATGGAGAGCAATCTGAAAACAATAGAAGAAGAGAACAAACTTATAGAGCAGAACAACGAGAGCCTGTTGAAGGAGTTAGCTGGCTTAAGCCAAGCCCTCATCTCCAGCCTTGCTGACATTCAGCTTCCGCAGATGGTAAGACCACAGCCAGCAGCTACACACCTTCTTTGGGACTGTTTTGCCAGCACTTGAAGCAGATGAGCAAGCTCAGGGGCCAGCAGGAGTGCTGCAGCTGCCTTAGCAGAGAGCTCTGCTTAGACTAATTTACTCTGCGGAGATGCTGGATCAGTGAACCTGGGGAGCCTCTGCACGCTAACAGTTGCTTCCAGGACTTTGCCGACACTGTTATCTCTGCCTTGTACTGCACTGTGCCGGGCAGACTTTTCCCCTTTCCCTCCCTCTCTGAACGTCCATCATGTGCACGGCACGAGAATTGCCCGCAAAGTCTCCTTAGTCTTATTTTGCTCCTAGGTCAAAATTTTAACCTGTTTGATCCAGCTCAGCGCTGTGATTTTTCTGGAGCCAATAAACCTGTGGCTCAAGACTTCCAGGTGCTATTTGTCTTACTTGCAAATGCAAGCAAAACCCACGAAGATACTTAAATCTCTAGAATTACGGTCTCTTTTCCTAAACTCAAGTGGGAAATTAGATGAGGAAACTTACGGACATCTCAGCCATAAGCCCAGAGATAAACAGGCCACAACAGAAAAGCAAGTCACATTGAATATTGCCAGTCCCTGCTATTGTTGGAGGAGTGCATGGTTCCCCCAGCACATGAATCTTCCTTCCTTTCTTCACCCCTCCATTATCTGGGGTGACTGCCAAGTTTTGTCATTTGCCCAGTTGCCATGTCACTGCTTTTCCATGCTTTGGGATCGGGTGTTGGTGGGGGGGGAGAGTTTTGGCCTCAATTTTAACTCCTACAATTCTCATCTGTTTTGTCTTCATTTAGGGGCCAATCAGTGAGCAGAATTTCGAAGCATATGTAAATACACTCACAGACATGTACAGCAATCTGGAACGGGACTATTCCCCCGAATGCAAAGCTCTGCTGGAAAGTATCAAACAGGCAGTGAAGGGCATCCATGTGTAGGATGTGAAAGCTGCTGGGCAACAGAAATTACTTAACAGCAGTAAACTCCAGATGGATCTGTTAGGAGTTCATGTACTGCTAAGGGGTGTAGGTTGCCATGCTGCATTTACAATTGCAACATTGCACTAATTTTTTTCCCAGCTGACATAAAAAAAAGAAGAAAAACACAACAGACTATTTGTATTAACAGCAATGCACTCTGTTAGTATATTGTATTTATTTCAGTACAATTCCTTTTTTTTCTTCTTTTGCACTCAGTTTTTGTAAAGTGAATGTAAAAAGTGTGTGCAACTATTTTTTATATTTTTTATTTATTTCTAATCAAAGCGTTTTTTTTTATCTTTTAACAGCATTTTTGCGGCCTGCCATATTTTTACAAATGTGTTTATTAATTTATTTTCCAATGGGATTTTAAATAGACTGAAAGTTATACTGTAAATTAAATAACTTGCTGGGTTTGTACAGGAAGAAAAAAAACCTATGAAAGTAACAAATGACAGAACTGTGGTTCTAGTTTTATTTTCCTCACATCCTGCTTTTTTATAATGGCTTTGTATCAGAAATGGGTTTGCAGTAACATGAGATGTGAAGATGCCTGGAATGAGAAGATAAATGGTGCCCACTAGTGGGGAACTTGGGCTCTTAAAAGCACAGTATGCTGGAAAACAGTGTGTTAAAGAATACGTTAGCAATAATGAAATATAGCAATCAGCAAAGCACTTGACTTGGCTGTGTGATTTAGCCTATGCGAATGGTTATTTAAAATGTTTCAAGAGAACTTCAGAATTATTTTAACAATATAGTTTTTTTTTTTTTCCCCAATTTAGTTCATGGAGGGAAATGACAATTATCTGTAAACAAGAAAGATAATTTGATAGGACTGGTACTTTTTTAGTACGATACCTTGCGGTTTTAACCAAGTGACCAGTATTGCTATGGATTTGTATATGAAAAATGTAAACACATCCCAAGCTGAAGATTTTGTACATAATAATTAATCAAACTCATCTCCCCTGAAATGGCGTTTAATACTGGTTTGAATTCACAGAAGCTGAAAAGGCAGCAGTCCGGAGAAGAAGAATAATACTCCGGTGAAGTGATGGTTGCTTTTCTCTTTAAACAAACTGTAGCAACACAACGGTTGGTTTCTCCCGTTCTTATTCACTAAGACTAGTCTGATACTGAATTTGTTACCAGTCTTTCAGTAGGGTACCAAGCGCTACAGACCATATAGACGCACAGAGATAGGGACACACGCTCGTACAGAGGTACCTGCGTGTGCCTCGGGATTTGCTTAGCCTGGGTTTGGAATTTCTGAATTTCTGAGCAGTCAGAAATTAGTGGTTGCTATAACAGAGGCAATGTCTATTTCAGGGATTGTAAGTAATTAAGCATTGTTTCAAAAGTTTTTTTTATATTTATTTTTTTTAAGAAAAAGGTATAAACAACCAGCTAAACTGCCTTTTTTGTATGCACACACACCTCATGTGCATATGTGCCTCAGTGTAAATGTATACATGGATCTAGCGTGTGTTTAATTTTTCCGTGCTATAATTAAAGTGTTTATTTTTATTAGCCTCATTTATATTTAGATTGAATATGATGGCATTCACAGGCTTGACATATACAATTATATTATTACTGTTCCTGCACAAAAGTACTATTCAGAAGTGATTCAACTCTCATGCACTGTGGTCACTGTTCTGCGTTAGGTGGGGCTTGCTTTTTATTTGAGGGTTGACTCAACTCTCTAATCTTAGTTTAGACAGGGGAAAATGTATGTTCTTAGAAGCTGTGTTTATTTTTAAATTGATTTTTCAAAGGCTACCATATGTGCTGTCTAATATAAATAGGAGGACACCAAACAAAAATTTGCTATTAAAGTTATTGTACTTGCTAAAAAACAAAAAGCAAACATTTGCTATACTTGTTAAATGCATACAAAATGAGTTCACTCATTACAAAGACTAAAATTTAATTTACTAAATATTTTAACAAATTTGTTATATATTTTATTTAAGTAAAAAAAAATCTCTTACTGACCTATGTATTTATTATTATGATTTATTATGGCTTCAGGTTAATTTATCTGTGTTTGGTTGTTTGCTCAGGATGTTCCGTGAAGTATGTTTGTATTTATTTGACTCCCTTGTACTTGATGTGTTTTGTAATGTGCACTGATTTTTTTCTTTCTATTTTTCTTTTTTTTTGTGTTTAACTGCATTGACGAGCTATACTGTAAATTAGACCTTTTGTAAAGAGCAATGATGTATGCATTTTTTAATTTGGAGTAGTTTGTATACTGTTTCTTCATACAATTAATATTTCTTACATCAAAGCAACAAAATTGTGTTCTGTGCTGTACATTTGGTGTATGGTAGGAAATAAAATTGATAATGAAACATTGCAGCAAGTTCGTTGGGGTTTTTAGCCTCTAGATGCTGACTTGTATCACACATTCTTAACTGCACCTGGCACTGTACAATGTGTCAGATGTTTTACTTGCTTTGTGTACAAAATGTGTCATCCCTGTAAGTAAATTTCTGGTATAAATAATTTAATTAGTGTTTTACTTTGTCAGTTTGAAGTAAGGAGTAGAAAAAAGGAACTGCCTAAGAGATTCTTTTCACTTCTAAAGGGAAAAAAAATCAAGAAACTAATCACTGCATTATTTAATGAATTCTTTTCTTGGCAGTTGTAGACTTCATTTATACTGATAAAGTAGAGGATTTGTGGTGACCTTTAACAGCTGCTAAATGATGTTTAGACATAAAAGCCATTGTAAAGTTTCCAACAGTTCGGAACCGCCCACTGTTCCAGTGCAATTTTCTGCTGAGATGTGCAGTGCTTAGACACCGCACAAATAAAAATCTGCTGTTTTTGAAAAGGTAATCGGCGGTTTTTGAAAAGGTAATATTTCCAGTATCTAATGGATTCTCTTTTCATTGTTAGTTGTAAAGAAAACAAGCCAGTTCTATTATGAAGTGTGCTGATGGTTTCAGTAGTATTTCTTGTCTCCGATTCTAACTCCCCGTAGATAGATTAGGAATAATTTTTGTTAGAATATATGGTAGACTTGAAGCTCATGAAGTAGCTGATGGGTGTTTATTTGAATAGAAGTAGTCATATAATCCAAAATGGACTCTGACACTAGAAAAGCTGACATCTCCCTGGTTAAATAGATCACGGTTCAAAATTTGGATCATGACATGAATTCTGTATACTCCCAAATCTTGCGGAGTTTGGAGCTGTAAATTCAGTGAAGGATATTTATAGATAGAACAGGTTTGAAAAACGTGAGTCCATATTATATTTCTCTTCCTCCACATTCAG